TTAAGATTATTTATTTAGAGAGAGAAAGAAAGAGAGAGAGACTGGCGGAGGGGCAGAGGGAGAGAATCTTTCACACAGATTCCCTGCTGAGCGAGGATACCAACTCGGGCCTCAATCCCACAACCCATGAGATCATGACCTGAGCTGAAACCAAGAGTTGGACGTTTAACCAACTGAGCTTCCCAGGCGCCCCCCCCCATTTTTTTTTAATGAGGGCACAGCCTGGCTTAATCATTTTGTGAGTTGATCACAGAAAAAGAACTTTGAATTTCTGACAAATTTTAGAAAAATTGAATGGAGGGAACACAAGCCATTAGATGTTCAGTTACTTAGTTACAAGCCACAGAAACCTGGCTAATTTGAGCAGAAAGAGAATGTATTAAAGGGTATTAGGTGGCCTTGGGATGAGGATGGGGCTAGAAGAGGCAGATGATGATAAAGCTTAAAATTCCTGCAGTTAGGAACAACATCCAGAATTACACTTGAGAACCAATCTGATTTCTGTCCCTATAGTTTTGCTTGTTCCAGAATGTCTTATAAGTGGAAGCAAACTAGAGCATAGCCTTTTTTGGTCTGGCTTCTTTCACTTAGCCTAATGAATTTGAGTCATTCATGTTTTGGCATGAACCAGTAGTTTTTTCTTGTTTATCCATTCACCGTTTGGGGGATATTTGGATTGTTTCCAGTTTTGAGCTCTTACGAATAAAGCTACTAAAGTTTTCATTTCTCTTTGGTAAATACCTAGGAGTGGGATTACTGGGTCATATGGTAAATGTATGGCTGCCAAACTTTTCTAAAGTGGCCATGCCATTTTTTTCCATTTATTTTAAGTAAACTCTACATCCAACATGGGGCTCAAACTCATGACCCCAAGATCAAGAGTGGCATGCTCTACTGACTTGAGCCAGCCAGGCACCCCAGGCCATGCCATTTTGTATTCCCACCAACAGTGAGAATTCCAGTTGTTCCATATCCTTGCTAGGACTTTTTAATAACAGCTTTTTGTTTTTGTTTTTGTTTTTAGTTTAGCCACAAGAGTAGGAGTGTAGTGATATCGCATTACAGTATTAATTTTCATTTCCCTGAAAATTAATGATGTTGAACATGTTTTCATCTGATCATTTGCCATCTTCATCTTTTCTTTGGTGAAGTGTCTATTCAAATCTTTTGCCTATTTTTAAATTGTATTTTTTTTAAAGATTTTATTCATTCATTTGACAGAGAGAGACTCAGCGAGAGCGGGAGCACAAGCAGGGGGGAGTGGAGAGGGAGAAGCAGGCTTCCCGCTGAGCAGAGAGCCCGATGCAGGGCTCGATCCCAGGACTCTGGGATCATGACCTGAGCTGAAGGCAGCCGCTTGACTACTGAGCCACCCAGGCGCCCCAAATTGTATTATTTTCTTATTGTTTGTCTTACTATTACTGAGTTGTAAGAGTTCTTTGTATACTCTGGAGACAGATACTTTATCAATTATCTTCTTCCAGGTGGAAGCTTGTCTCTTCATTTTCCTAACATGTTAATGGCTTTTGAGGAGCCATTTAATGAGGAGCCTTCATTTAATGAGTCCATGCACAAGGGTGAAAATATTTTAATATTGATGTGGTACTATTCATAAATTTTTTTATTAGCACTTACATCCTTCCATGAAAGGTTTGCCTAATCCAAGATTACCCCTATATTCCTATTTTTTCTAACAATATTTTATTTTATGTATTTTTAAGGTAAAAATGTGGGGCTTGAACTCACAACCCCTTGGGCTCTGGACACCAAGATCAAGAGTTGCATTCTCCACTGACTGAGCCAGCCAGGCACCCATCTAACAATATTTTAAATTTTGTCTGCATTTAAATGTTTTATCATTAGCATTTGCCTTTTTCCATTTCTTAATAGGAAAAACTGGAACTTATTAAGTAGATAGTGGCAGAAAAATAATTTCAAAAGTCTTTAAACCACTACAACATTAAATAAGCAATATTTTACTCTGCAACTACAGATTATTCCATATTTTTCCTATTTTAAATGAAGTATTAATAATTTTAGTTTTTGCATTTTGATCTATGAGCCATTCTGAGTTCATATTTTGTATATGGTGTGAGGCAAGGGTACTTTTTTTTGTATATGGATGTCTGCTATAGACTGAATGTGTAACCCCCAAATTCATATGTTAAATCCTAACATCCAATGTGATGGAATTTGGAGGTGGGATATTTGGGAAATGATTAGGCCATGTGGTGGAGCTGCCATGAATGGGATTCGTTCCATTATAAAAGACACCCCAGAAAGCTCCTTTGCCCCTTCTGTCATGTGAATACACCTCTTTATGAACCAGGAATCAGGCCTCACCAGACACCAAATTCGTCAGTGTCTTGGTCTTAGGCTTCCCAGATTCCAGAACTGTGAGAAATAAATGTTTGTTGTTTAAGCCACACAGTCCATGGTATTTTTGTTATAGCAGCCAGAACTAAGACAACATCTAATTGTTCCAGAATCATTTGGTGAAAAGTCTGTTTTTCTCCATTGAATTACTTTGGGATCTTTTTAAAAAATGAATTGTCTATATACATATAGACCTATTTCTGTAAAGTCTGTTTTATTCCATTGATCTATATGTCTATCCTTATGCCAATACTACACAGCCTTAATTACTGTAGCTTTATGGTTAGTCTTGAAGTCAGGCAGTGAGTCCTCCAGATTTGTTCTTCATTTTCAATATATTCTGGCTATCTTATGTCCTTTGCTTTTCCATATAACTTTTAGAATCTCAATTTGCTGGGATTTCTCTTGGGATGGCATTGAATTTATAGATCAGTTTTAGAGAGAACTACCATATTAACACTATTAGGTCTTCTAATCCATGAACAGTTATCTCTCTAAACTCAGGGTTCCTGACTCAATCATAATTTATTAAGTATATGTGTCAAGGACAGTGTAAGGGATATCAGGATGAATAAGAAAGTATTTTGATAAAGGAAAATACTGGTGGGTTAAATAAAATACCTAACATTGAGAGTTTTTAATATTTTTTTAGGATTTATTTATTTGAGAGAGAGAGAAAGAGAGAGCACACAGAGGGAGAGGGAGAAGCAGACTCCCCATTGAGCAGGAAGCCGGATGCAGGGCTTGATCCCAAGTCCCCGGGATCACGACCCAAGCGGAAGGCAGATGCCCAATCAGCTGAGCCACCGGGCGCCCCATAGAGAGTTTTTAGTATTTTAAAGAGCACTATTACCCTTTTCAGCTGGAATTGGTTTGCAATGGAAAGGGATATTTTCAGCTTGAAACTCAGTTGTGTAGCCCTCTCTGATTATGTGTGGACAGGTCCCTTGATTTTGTATAGCAAGCCAGCCAGGAGATTTTAGAAAACTCAGACTAAGAACGGTATGTAAATTGGGATGCCTGGGTGGTTCAGTTTGTTAAGCAGCTGCCTTTGGCTCAGGTTGTGATTCCGGGGTCCTGAGATCAAGTCCCGCATTGGGCTCCCTGCTCAGCGGGGAGTCTGCCTCTCGCTCTCCATCTGCCTCTCCCCCTGCTCATGCTTTCTCTCACTCTCGCTCTCTCTCAAATAAATAAATAAAATCTTTAAAAAAAAAAAAGGTATGTAAATTTAGATATGGTTTCCTTGGGGTACTGTGGTGTAGTATTCAAACCACCATCCATTGTCTGGTCCATAGATTAGTCTCAGGACACAGCCCCCAGTGGACCCCAAATATCCGAGTCCTCTGAAAAGGAACCATAAGCAAATACAAAATGAACTAAAAATGGTAATGACTCTTCTAAGAACTATGGAATACAGGGCAGCCTGAGGAGCTGTGGGGCAGTACCACCTGAGTAGGGACAACTCGCTTTATCCACACTCTTATAGCAGTCAAGTAGGGGCTTTGGCCCTTTTCGGGGATGATAGGGAATCAGAGGGGCTTTGTCACCACGACTCCATATCAATAGCTGTTAGCAGAGGATACAGGGCAGAGCAGAGCAGGAGTGCCCAGCAGATATGGCAGTACCCAGAGAAAGGTGGCACCCTCTTCTCAGCTGCTTGGTCTTGTTCCTGCGCACAGGTGAGACCTACCTTCAGCCTTCCCCTGAGTGTTTGACAGGCCAGGGTCCTACTACTGCCAAGGTACCAGCCCAACATAGCTCACATACTCAGTATCTCATCTGATCCACTCAGCAGTATGTGAGGTTAAGTTTTAATCCCATTTCATAGATGACAAGACTGACCCTTATAGCACTGGATCTGTTGCTATAACCACCAGGTTGATTTCTCGAGCTATGAGTCCCAGAGATAATGTGAGTTTTACTTACCATTTTACATTCTGACAACAGGAATTTTAAGTGTCTTCATTGCCCTCATAAACTCACTGAACACTTCAGTTGTTTATCATGTATTTGATTTCTAGGGTTTTTTTTTTTTTTATGACAAACATAATCCATCCTTTAGGAAAAAGTGGTTAGTGAGCAAAACAAAAAGAAAGAATCACACAGGGGCACCTGGGTGGCTCAGATGGTTAAGCATCTGCCTTCGGCTCAGGTCATGATCCCAGGGTCCCGGGATGGAGCCCCACATCTGGCTCCTGACTCGGCGGGGAGCCTGCTTCTCTCTTGCCATCTGCCTCTCCCCTGCTCATGCTCTCGCTCTCTCTCTCTGTATCTCTCTGTTTCAAATGAATAAATAAAATCTTTAAAAAAAAAAAAAAGAATCACACATGGTGGGAGCCATAGGACGGTAGAGAACTCAGAAGAAGGAGCAGCAGTGCCCACTGACATGGTTACAACTAGAGGAAGGCATGGGGATGGGTAAGGCCCACAGAGGAATGGCATGGAGGTACCTAACCATCAGGTGATTGGACTCATGTTTGAATACAAATGAGACCTTTTTTTTGGCTACCATACAGGAAAAACCATCATCTACTTTTTAGTATACACATTTTCAGAGCTTTCTCTATGCACAAATGCATTATGCAAACATTTATATTTTTACAAAAATGGTCTGATACTGTATATGTGGTTCTGAAAACTGTTTTTTCTTTATTGTTATTTTACAGTGTACCATGAACATTTCTTCCATGCACAAGGGTGAAAATTCCCTACTGAAAGACAGAGTGCTGCAGTTGGGTCAAAAGGCTGCTGGTAACCGAGAGTGACACCTAAAGCAAAGTATCAGCATAAGGTTAGAGCACATAGCCTGGCAAATGCCTGCCAGGGAAAGCAGCGGCAGCAATATTCTCATCAGAGAAAACAAAATTGAAGGCCAAAGGCATTAAAGATATGGGATATCATGTAAGCCTCTTTGGCCCCTACCTCCACCCCTCACCCCCCTGACACCCCGTTGCCCCCTTGGGGCAAACGGATCCTGTACATCTCTTTGCATCCAATGAAAACCACCCATTTTCTGTTTTTTCCTTAGCTCTTCCTGAGCCCTTGACATATCTCCACATTCTCTCATCATCTCCTCACTGCCCAAGTGCCTTTCCTGTAAGTCCTCCTGATAGTCCTTGGGGGAATCATCCGTCCCCCTGTCTGTTTTTCTTTTTGCTTTCCTGGGCACGTAATCTTCAGCTGGGCGCTTCTCGGCAGCCCGTGGCTCACTCTCAGGCTTTGCCAGGGATTCTGGCTTGCCCTCACCGTGTGGTTTTCCCTCATTTTCAGACTTGCCCTGCTTTTCTTGCTTTCCCTCATCTTCTGGTTGTCCCTCATCATCTGGCTGTCCCTTATTCTGGAGCTTTCCCTCATGCCCTGGCTTCCCCTCCACTTCCAGCTTTTCTTCCTCATCTGATTTTCCTTCATCTTCAGGCTCTACTTCATCTTCTGGCGTTCCCTCGATTTCCAGCTTTCCTTCATTTTCATTGTAGAGTTTTTCCATGTTGAGATTTTTTCCCTTCTTTTCCTTGTCCTGCGGGGTAGGGTGGGATAGGGGGTTAAGAGAAGTCAAAAGAGACAAGGGAGACTGAGGACGTGGAGGTGGAGTGCAGGTGCTGATGGTACTGGCATCCTTCCCCTTGGCTGGGTTCCCCTGACCTGCCCAAGCCCTCCAAGGGTGTCTTCTGCCCACCCTTTACCCCACAATTCATCCCACACGTGAGAGCCAACCATTTCCCTGGCAGGCCCTTTGCACCATCCCTCGGTGTGGCGGGGTGGGTGCAATTTACAGGTGGTGAGATGGGCAGTGGGACCTTCAAATTCTGCCCAAACTGTGCCCTCCGCACCCTGCCCCCACCGTTCCTGTCCAGTGCCCCTCCCCCCTTTCACTCACCTGCAGGAATTCTGAACAGGTTCCTCCTCCTTTTCTAGCCTTGCAGAGTGCTGGGGACAGACAGACAGACCTACACACAGGAGACAGGGCCAGGGCCTGTGCGCTCAGCCAACTGAAGTTTCTTTCCTGAACCTGGGCCCTCCTCAGGCAACATTTCCCTCTCCTACCTCCCCCACATCCCAGCCGCCATTACTTTTCAGGCCTCAGGCTCCAAGCCAGGATGCTTTCCAAACTGTTTGGGTCTCTGTATCCCCCTCCCCTGAAGGCAAGCCGCCCACCCCCACCCCCTTTCCGCGGAGGTCAGTATTTCCGTTTAGGTGCAGAGTGTGAGAGGGGGTTATTTCTAGAATATGCCTACATTTCACTGTCGCACTGCAGGGGCGCCCCCCCCATTTCAGGTCCAAAAATGCATGGAGGGCGCACAGGAGGGGCGTCGAGGAGGCGGCGGGGTGCTCCCTCCCCACCTGCCCACGTCCGCGCTGCATCCC